GCAAACTTCCTCGTTGGTACATGTGAAGCCCTTTTCAACGTTTCAAATGTGTACTTATACTTCAACGCCCATTACATCCTGACCAAACGCAGGTGCCGCCATGTAAATAATTTCAAGCATAATTTATGTGCAAATGTCCTTATCCGATCTAAAAGGAAAGCCCTTCAGGTATCCTGTTAAATTGTCGTGTGTGAATAATCTAGTCGGCGCAGAGGAATTTTCTGGCTGCACTGTTTGAGACAAATTTGAAGTCTCCTGCCTTTCTAAAGTTCGGAATACTGAGTGCAAATCATCCAGAAGGACAAAAAGGATGTAGTCCTATACACTCATCACGTGGGACACCCAAGTGACTTCTCAGACTCCTAGACCCCCCACCCGAAGGTCGGTACGAATGCTAAGAAAAATTAACCACTGGGAGGGTCTTAATCTCCAAACACGGCACAAGATTACCGACTTGTTTCTCCCTGTTCTTTTTCTCCTTCCCCTTCCCTGCTCACCAAGCCCTCCCGTTTTCAAAATGCGATTCAGTTCACTTGTGAGGCGTGCGGTTCGAGCGTCGCCGCTTGCACACAAGCATGTGTTTTTAGGTGCTGCTTGGTTAATTCAGTGAACACCTTTCAATCCCGAGAGCGGTCTCTCATTCTCTTCATCAGTGAACACACAAGTAGAACATGCTTTGCCCATTTCCACGCCTATTCGCCCGAATGGACACTTACATTCCTCACAGATTGTCCTGTCAAACGTTGCCCCAACTGACGGTTTGCAATGGGTGTTGAAATCTACGACTCTTTATCTGGAATTCCCAATGGTGGTTTCGGTCATAAGAGATTATGTAAGTGAGGTGGTTGTGCTGGATTGCGGGCAGCGCAGTCCACAAATGAATCGACAATTAATTTCAATTGGGAATTTTTCCAGCAGCAACCACAGTAGCCGCAAAATAGCTACTGAAAGTGGCGTACTATTTTTCATTTTAGTTTCGGTATCAGGAAAAATTTAAGCAAACCTCATAGGAAGTGAGCAAAGAAATATTCTTTCTTATGCATCTTTTGCAAGAAAATAGTTCTCCTTCAGTAAGGTCCCCTTGGGCCTTAAAATGTTTACCAACTCCTATATTCAGCTGACTCAAGTGTGCAAAACCAGGGCGAATTTGGTGCGATTATAATCAGCAGCAGTAGGGACAGTCGGCGCTCTAACTACTTGAACCACAGGACCGCGATGGAAGACCATTACTTTTCCAAATTTGTGTTGCATTATCCTTCTAGCCCACTGCAACGTATAACATTCACTTATTTTCTAAACAGTCCTCTAACTGCCCAGGCAGGTTTCCCTATACAATCTGTCTAGAATCCACCTGAGTCGAGTTTCGAAGCCCGATGAGGTTGCCCAGTTTTGGTAACTGGGCCAGGTTAATCATCCAAATCTGTTAAAAGTACCTCATTCCTATGCAGTTCAAACACAAAAGTTTGTTGGATTACATGCTGCGCGCTCTCCATTGAAACCAAATCCCGATCTTCGACGCACTTGAGTCAAAGCTACCAAGTGTTCACAAAATTTTAAAATACACATCAGTCACCCTATATATTCCAAAATCAGTATTAATAAGCATGCGAGTATTATACTGCTTCGGTAATGGCTCAGTTTGTCTTAAAACGCCCCATAATAGCAGTCCTGGTGGATGCTAAAGATAACTTTCCATCAGGAACCAAATTTAAATAAGACATTACTGGAAAAGCAGCACCTCTTATTCACCCTTTCGACAGAATATTATTGAAAGGCTTTAGATAATGCAAGTCGGAACATATCCGCACCACTTGTTATCCTTCGCCAGTGCAGCTTTGAAAGCGGCTGGAAGAAAATTCTAGTCAGTATCCTGGAATGTTTAGAATACATTTCGGTCATGTTTCGTGCAAATCAATACCACAATGTTACGTAAGTAATGCCTAATGACCGGAATACTATTTTGGAACTTCGGTTATTTTTTCATAGAGTACAACTCGTGCCACATTGCTACGGATCTATGTTTTGTTTTAAATGAGTTCATTTGCAGGACGAGAGACCCCCGGCTTTGACTTTGGCGAAAAGTACCAGCTTCTTCGAAATAACCTATACTGCATTGCATATTTTCGGCCCTTTTGGCTTCTTGTTTTTGAATATCTATGCAGGGTCAATTTTGAAGAGTTTTTCAAAAGCTGAGTAAAATATAGTAAACTGCACAGTACCGTATATTATTTCAGATTGTATAACGATCCAAATAAATTAAAAGCTTGGATTTTTGTTCCCAAGACCCTATGGAGATGCACACTCTTGACTGTTCTATCGCAGACGGCCTAATCTACAACAAAAATGCCCATGTTAAATGTGTTTGGGAGATTTTTAAAATACACACTCCAACACTTCTCAGTCACGTTTTTTCCAGGATATAACTTGTTTATGTCAAAGTTCCTTAGTATGCAACATTACTGTCAACACTTTGGTTGTTCCCTCTTTGCACTTCACGTGTATTTTCCAAATTTCATATGCACTTTTTTCGACCTCCTCAATACTATCCTTAGAACTGCAAGTCTACTGAATGGACAATGCGGCGATTCGAAAAGGATATTTTGTGACGAATATAGCCTTTTGGGGGCTCGTTTTGTGGCAGGATGCTCCAAAGTACCGCCGCCTGTGCCATTCACTCTTTCTAAAAGACAAATGCCAGGGGATGCATTGCCAATTATAAGATAGCATTTTGTCTAGCGTACCTGTGGAAAAGCCCAGAAGGGCAATAAAGGACTACCACGTACAACTGGACGACTAACACCCGGTGAGTTCTTAATTCTTCCCAAACCCCGTTGTGCACTCGCCCTCCCTACCAACGCGCTACATGCATTGTGGCATTCCTGATAATATGCAAGGTAAGTAGAACCGTATCCCGAGTTCTCCCTGTCAAAAGGACATACTCACAAGTCTGTTGATAGCTAAAAAGAACAACGCTACGAAGCGGAAAAAAGACTTGGTTCTGAGATATGCAAGTGTCGAGAATTCTCCAAAACGACGACATGAATACACGGGCGTCTGGTAGAAGGAAATACACACAAGGACATGGCCCGGTGACGCATTTCACCGACATTACCTCCAAAGATAAGCTTTGGGATGCCTCACTGAACAGTTAGCAAAGGTGTGGGCTGCAATTACCTCGCGGAGGTTAGGATATAGTTTAAACTCGAATGCAGGCTCAAGAGCAGACTGTATGGTCAGGAGATTCGCTGTCCCAGGTGCCGGCTTAGGCGCTGCGAGCACTGTAGACCAGGAGTGACGTCCGAAATGAATGTTTGCGGGGGTGTGCAGTTCGGAGGAGGACTCATAAACCATCGTTTATGGCGTTCAAGGTCAACACTCGGCAGTTGTGGTATACCCTCAGAAGTGCAAGTTATTCCACCTTATTTTTTTATTATCATTGTCAGCCCTTAGTACCTGACACTCTTTGACTGTAGTGTCACTTGGACAAGACTGCAGACAGCACTGGCAACTCAGTTGACATTTTCCTTGAACGAGCAGCACAACTGCACTGCAGGTGGACCCTGCTTGCTAGTTTGATCAACCTTGGATCGGGATAGGGAGGATTTTCGGAATACCCGTGGCCACATGCATCCCCCTCTCGAAGCTGAACCTAAAACTCTAGTACTGTTGGGAAGTAAAAGACCGGAAATGTGCGGTATTCATGGGTGGTTTGCGGAAGGCGGACAAAGCAGAGTATTAGCCACTTGGGCAATTAAAGTCCGTTAGCATCCAAATTGGCTCGACCGAGGCACAAAGTCTGTGCTCAACCAAAACATTGATCATTTGTTCCCTTTGTTCCTGTTAGAGAATAATCGAGTCGCAGGGTGAATCAGAACTCTGCTGTGAGACACTGCATCAGTTAGCCTAGTGTTACGGTTGTAATGCCGGTAGGCATCCGTGACTGCCGCAGCGGCTGGTGCAGCCAACTCAATGAAGCCAGCGGTGCAGAAGAACAGGCACCCTTGACACCAAGCCCATCTCAAGGAGACGTGGTTCTAGGGGCATCTTATCAAAAACTGAAAATCAAAAATACCGCCCTCAGTTACCTACACTTTTCTCATTGCTAAAAACCTGGAACCTACAACCTTCAGGTGTCCGGAGGGCCTCAACTCCCATTACGTACATGTGATGAAGGCCACTCGTTCGTGCTTCCAAAGTATGACTCTGCTACGACACATACGCTATGGTCACGCAGTTAGAGATCAAGTGGCATCCTGAAGTTCGCACCGCAACACTACTGCATCTCGCGCATATGCAGCACAGATCTATCGACAATATGGCAGTTTCGAATCCCGGCGTCTAAAGAGGTAACGAACTAAAACCGTGACCTTGGCGGGATGAAAACAAAGCAGACGCTAGAGCCTACAAGAGGTCGCTTCAGAAAACGCGAGCCAACATGTTATACCCGGCGAGCAGCAGCTACAAGTCGGCGAAGAAGCCCTGACCGCTGGCGCGGGTGACGACTTGCACGAGTAGATATTGAACGAGCGACAGGCAAAACTCGTCTTGACAGGCGCGAAAGGCTCAACGTACACAACCACCCACGCAGACGGCAAGCAAGGTGCATGGCTCAGGTCTCTCTGACCTGTGTTACACGCCACGAAGTGCCATGACTCCATTAGGCGGGCCGAGAGTAGACACAAAGGACGCTGGGGAAAAGGCGACACACAGTCGAAGGAGATACTTTCTTCAACCATATTTTACACAAACTAATTTTTTGCAGGGGGTGGCGAGCGGGCAAAAAACAGGGACGGGGTATAATTGTCGGGGGCCCGCTGGAGTTGGCGGGATCGAGAGCAAGAAAGGGGTAGGCCTCTAAGTAAAAAAGGTATGAAAGCCATCTCGGAGATCAAAATAAAATCTTTCGCACGATGTTTCTTCATCTGGAGGCAAAGAAGGAACACCAAAACAGAGCGAGGAGGAGGAGGAGGAGGAGGAGGAGGAGGAGGGCGATAGCGGGTCTAACCAATCTCCGCGGCCGCCGACATGGCCAAGGTACGAATAAGCTCAGCCCTAGAGAGGCCGTCGAAGACGTCCAGTGCCTCCTCGCTGTCGTCATTGTCGTCCTCGGTTCTGTCCTCTTCGTCTTCGCTGTCCTCTTCCTTCTCAGTAGACGCAG